GCTGGTCGTGCGGGGGTGGGGGGGGGGGGGGGGGGGATAAGGAGATGAGAGGCATTCAAATGTCTGCTCATGGCTGCCTTAGGAATAAAATAGCTCCATGAAAATTGCAGAGAGGGGTCTAGTCCAGTTTCTCAATTATTCACGGGTTGGTTGGACATGTGCTCTTTTAGCGCTCTGAGACACTATCTAGTCTCACCTAGACTTCTATTAGCTTTTGTTTTCCCCACATAGCATGTATTAGTAATAATGTTTAGCCCAATATACGAATGATATCAACCTTTTTCAGAGTATTTCTTGTTCAGCTTCTTGGTCAACTCAGAACATGTATATTGCCATAGAACGATCCACAATGTTTAGATTCACTGAACGGTGGCAAATGTTATAAACCCTTTTCTATCTTTTACTAGCAGTAAACCACCAACATATTTACGAAGAGCTATAGCTACACTATATGGCCAAAGGTTTGGGGACACCTGACCATCACACCTATATGAGCTTGTTGGATATCCCATTCCAAAACCACGGCCATTAATGTGGAGTTGTCCTACCGGTAACATCCTTCACTCTTCTGGGAAGGCTTTCCACAAGATGTTAGAGGAGTTTGTGGGAATTGGTGCCCATTTGTGAGGTCAGGCACTGATGTTGGATGAGGGGACCTGGCTCACAATTCATCCCTGGTTCCAATTCATCCCAAAGGTATTCAGTAGGGATGAGGTCAGGGCTCTGTGTAGGACACTCAAGTTCCTCCACACCAAACTAGTCAAGCCATATCTTTATGGAGCCAGCTTTGTGCAACTGAACTGTCATTTGGAGGGATGTCCACATACTTTTTGGCCATATAGTGTACCAAAGGAACACTTCACAGATTGTGGTAATCGGCGATTTTTATTAGGGCCATAGGGCTGATTTACTCAAAAGGAATACATTTGCACTAATCTGAATCCTTCAGGAGTTTAAAAAATAGAAAGTATCCATAAATCTGTTTGGGTATTTGAAGGGAACACAGTCTAGAGCAGGGATGGCCAAACTCCGGCCCTCCAGCTGTGGTGAAACTACAAATCCCATGAAGCATCTCTGTCCAGGAGCCATGGCTGTGGCTGTGAGAATCTTGCAAAGCCTCATCGGATTCGTAGTTCCACCACAGCTGGAGGGCCACAGGTTGGCAACCCTGGTTTAGGAGGATGCCAGTTAATATACCCCACTGAGGGACTAATACATTTTGATGAACTTGTGTGTTTAACAGATTTTTTCTTTGTTTTAAAAAGTACTATACCCAGAACTACTTTTCAGGGAGTCCATATTGTATTGGGCAGGAGATCTCCATCCTACATCTCTGGTACAGCAATGATGTCGTTGCGCCCACAGCTTGATTATGAAATTGTGCATTGGGTTCCTATTCTCCAAGTGAAAGATTCCACTAAATGGCTAAAAGCCGAACTCCAGACAGATATAAAAAACACCAATTATAACAACCATGAGGTCATTCGGATAATTAAAGGCATTTTACATGCAGCTTTTGTAAGTACCTATTGAAACCCCTATGAAGCAGAGCTGAGACTATGAGAGGAAGGGACAGGACTGGGAGCCATTTGGGTGTCCAGATAAGGAACAAGCTAGGACCAGCCTATTGTTCAGTTGAGATGGTAGTGCCGGTGTTCGGTCGAAATGGCCAAGTCGTCGAGATCTCCAACTCGTAACGTCACATCCGTTGGAGATTTCGACAAGATGGCGCTAGTGCTCGTGCGCCAGGCTTGGCCTTTTCCTAACGTCGTCGACTTGTCCTAAGTGCCTCACAATCCTCATCGAGTTCTCCAACTGGCATCACTGCTTGTGCCATCGGATGCACTAATTAGAGAATGTGATACTGCTCTTAGGTAGCCGCGCAGGCGCACTGACGGGAGTTGGAGATCTTGGCAAATTGTACATCTCGATAGAACACTGGAACCTTATGCACATTTTTATAATCAGCTGGGATGTTGATAAGGGAGCACACGAGGTTACTATATCACACGATACAGTTTACTGTGGCCACGTCTTTATATTTTGCTGTACCATGGCGTCTTTATTTTTTTTTTATTACGTAAAGAAAGATCAAATGACGTGTTGAAAATACAAAGAGAAACAAAAGAAATATATCGTTATATATCGAATGATGACCATAGTTTAAAGAATGATATATATATTTTGCCAATATATGTTTTGGTAGCACACTGTTGATTGAACGCAGACCCAGCAACGTACGCCGCCAAAAAAGCACTATACTACTACTGTTGTCCTCGTATATTCAATTATCACTAAAGAATGTATTTATGAGCAGTTTTGGAAAATTTTTAACTCTAAAAAGAGATAAATATACATATATAGTTTCTTAACCTCAGAATTTTGATACAAAACAAAGCACTTTAAGTCATTGAGGCCCATTGATCATTTTCTAAGGCACACAGCAATAAAGTGTATCTGAAACCAAAACTTTTTTTGTGTTGGATGTAAAGGGGGGGGGGGTT